GAGTGTGGTGGTCTTATTGAAAACCACAAAGTACCTCTCTATACTTACATGAGCCTTCATTCCTCCTTCCTCCTTCTTCCTTCTTCCCTGCACACATCCCCAAGACTGGATCAGCACATGTGTGCTCCACCTGTGTGTGCTGGTTCTATGGAGAGCCCATGCTGGAACCTTCTACCACTCCATACCCGTGTACATGCATGGCCTTATTCCATCATAAAACTACTGTAAGGATTAAATATGGGCAGTACTTGGAAAGAACTTAGAACTGTTCTAGGCACATGGTAAGAACTTGGCATTTGTCAGCTATGATTTAATTAACATTCTGTGAGCAGTGATTTTACAAGTTCTTATGGATGATTATCAGTCTTCATCTACAGTTCTGCTATCAGGAATAGAGCCACAGGGGGGGGAGGGTTGGGAAACCATGTAGGTTTATAGTTGTTTGTCCTTTATCATGGAAGATTTTTCTGCAGTCCTCTTTGAAACCAGGTAATGATAAATGGACCTTAAATATACCATCCAGTGATATGTTGTCATTGGGGAACTCTGGATTGTCAATTATATGACAATCCAACTTTATTGTTTATCCCAATGTAAAATCATTATACTCAGAAAATTTTGTTGTTGAAAATATTTGTACTGTAATAGCAACATTAAGACATTTGTCAAGTTGACTGTGACTAGATATCATTGTAGGGATCACCATAACGGCTATGAAGGGTAAGATTGGTAAGAAGTAAGCCCCTGCTTACTTTTGAGAGTAAAAATGACTAAGTTTAAGTTTAGCCCCTTCATAAAATTAGAACTAGCATTTGTTAACTTCTTATAGGGAGATGTTTGAATTGTAATTTTCTTATCAACCTAGAAATAAAGACTAATAAAAAAGAATAAAGTCACAACCATGGTAAACCAAGATCCTCGTATGTGTAGGAAAACCTAAGAGCCTATGCCTAGAGCAGTTCACAGGTAGTGCATGGAAGGAGACCAGATAGGGACAGCTAGCAGACACTGCTTGGGTCCTTGCTGAGCAACGGATGGACCATGTGGGCCCTTGGCACCCAGATAGAGAGCCAGCCAAAAGCTTTTGCTTCCACAAGAGTCTGCTTCCAGAATCACAGCAGTGATAATAGCTCAGAAATGGGTCCCACTGTGCCTTCAGCTCTAAAATTAGAACATAGTTCTTACAGCTGGCAGTTATATTCCCATAAATTCAATTTGAATTCCAAACAAAATACTCCTGAGAGGATTCTACCCTACCACTGCCCATTGTCATGGGCTTAATTGGCAGTGTGGATGTGTGTCAATCAATTTGAAACATAAACCTTTGGGTTCTGATGACCTTTTTCACAATCTATGACTCTGCCGTTCCTTGGGATATATTGCCTCAAGAGAGACTGGTTTGCCTGCTAAAAAATATCCAACTGAAACAGATTCATTTTATTGGATAATTTCATTTTCTTAAAACTGTCAATAGGTCTAACTCCACTTTTTTTAATTAGGGAGGTCTAAGTTTAGTACGGTAATTGACTTTATTTCTTTTAAAGTTGATGAGAGGAACTTTTCAAGGTTCAACTTTCTGAAGAGTATTTCCCATATGTGGGCTCTGAGGAAAAGATAGAAACTGAAATCATGGGAAGTCATGAAAGTTACTGAAAAATCTTTATTTGTGAACTACAACCTTTGATTCTTTTTTTTTTTTCTAGTAGTGGAGCCTGAACTCTGGGCCTGGATGCTGTCCCTCAGCATTTCAGCTCAAGGCTAGCACTCTACCACTTGAGCCACAGTGACACTTCCAGCTTTTTCTGATTATGTGGTGCTGAGGAATTGAATCCAGGGCCTCATGCATTCAAGGCAAGCACTCTACCACTGAGCCACCTTCCTATCCCCCTCTCCAATGATTTTTGATATCTTTAAATATCATATAAAGGAATACATATAAAGGATAAGATCCCAGATCATTAATGGCTCTCATTTAGACTAGAGAGGATTTGCCTGTGATTGCAAGTACAGAAAGTATCTCAGCAGTAGGGAAACCTCATGGAGCTACTCTTGGGCCACTGTTGCATAGGAATTGTCAGACACTCAGGGAAAACATTGTTAATCCCATTAACTACCCACCTAAATCTAAGCTGATTACCTATCAAGCCAACCAAATTAGTCATTGCATATTCCATCTGCACAAGTTCTCAGTAGATTTGATTTAGCACAGAGAATATTTTGTACCTACAGGTGTACATGGAGAACAGAAGTGATGGTAAGAAAGACAAAAATACCCTAACATATGGATAGGGATGGAACTGACAGATGGGTACCATTTTAGTCCTAGATAGGCAGATTAAGAATGAGAAAGGTGTTTGAACCAAATTCACAATGGAGAGTGAGATTATGCCATGACTGTTGAAATGTAATACCATGAAATTGTTCTCCTCTCATACTTATTCTTCTATATCTTTTGTAAAAGTGAGAAAAAGATCATATGCATAGAATCATATTAGGGGAGGACATACTACTTCTACTGTCACACTCAAGGAAGCTCTCCTAGGAGCCTGTCTCTTAATCAGTTGAAATGTCACCTTTAAATTTCTCCACTATCCTCTGCTAAAAAGAATCATCCTTTTCTCGAATATGTAATGCCAAAGTAAAAACTGCTTTGTCCATTGCATTGTAAGACAAAAATGCTGTTTCAAAAGTTCCATAAATAGGGAATGTTATCGGTGCTAACTCTACAAATAAAAACATAATCCCTGGGCTGGGAAGGTATAGTTCAGTGGTAGAGTACTTGCCTTGTATGCATGAGGCCCTGGGTTCCATTCCTCAGCACCACATATGCAGAAAAAGCCAGAAGTGGCGCTGTGGCTCAAGTGGTAGAGTGAACACATAATCCCTACTAAATGCAGGAAGTCCAGGGAAGCAGAGAAACTCCTTCTTGTTTGACAATCTGATCAAAGGTAAGATTACTGCTTCTAAAAATTAATGTGTAAAAAAATAAAATGAAATTAACTACGTTTTTGCCTTAGAAACCTTTGGCATAGGTGACTAATGAGGATTTTTCTTGGACTCATACATTTTACAAAGTTCAAAGAGAACTTCCAGATGTAACTGACTCTGTTTTTATGCATAAGGTACTCAAGAAATGGAGGGTACTGATGGTGTGGCTTAATGGTAAAAGTGCTTGCTTAGCATGCATATGGTCCTAGGCCTAATCACAGAACTAGTAGAGAAATATCAGCATATTTAGTCAAACAGGATGGCTCCTGATTGTAATCCCAAGCACTCAGAAGTCTGAGGGAGGAAAATCAAGAGTTCAAGTTCAGTCTGGACTATATAATAAGAAAAGAAAGCAAAAACAATTTTAAAAAATAAGAAACAAACGCTCCACAATCACTAACCCTTTTTTTTGGCAGAGGTGGGGCTTGAACTCAGGTCTTCATGATTGTTAGGATGACATTCTACCACCTGCACCTTATCTACAAATCTATTTTTGCTTTATTTCCAAAATGGGGTCTTGAGCACTTTTCTGCTGACTTCAAATCAAGATCTTTCTGCTCTCAGCCTTTCAAGTAGCTAAGATTACAAATTTGTACTACTGGCACCAGGCTCAGACAACTTTTAATCCCCAATTTTGTCAAAATTGAAAATTAAAACCCGAGTTACAAATAACAGATTTAATGTTTTCCCCTAACAGTCTTCTAATTCCCATTACCCATATCATTGCATTTCCAAGAGCTCGTCTAAAAGTGAAAAGAGACTCAGATCTGATCATATATATCTATTTTGTATCATGTACTAATGTCTAAAAGGACAAAGTTATGCCTATTTCAAGGTAAAATAAATAAGAGGAAATGCTATCCCCCAAAACAAATTGAGCAGTCAAACATGTGAATGCACATTCCAGAAGTAACTATACTGCTTTCTGAATGAATGAATTAGCTTAAGTGTGTCCACTCCTTCAGGCAATATCTTGGAGACAGCAGAGATGCTCCTTGTCAGAGATCAGAAACAGTGTGCTACTCTCATGTCAATCACTTCTAAGATGTTGTTCCATTATCCTTGTCCAGACACCTTGCTAATCTGTACTTATCTATACCTAATGTATTGCAGGAGTAAATGGTAGACATAGTAGTGCTAATCTGGGTTTTCCAGCTACCATGGACAATGATTTGTGCTATCTAACTAAATCAATTAGAACTTAGTCAGTGAGATGGACATTTTTAAACAAGATAGGCTGCCTAGCAGACAGATACCGAAAATGGGGTTTTGTTATAAATTAATATATAGATTATGGTCTCTTCTAGAAAAAAACAATATCAATGAAACTGGTGCTCATCAAAGAAACATAAAAAGGATTTAGGACATTTCCCAGTGCTAACACAACATTTCATTGTAAAAAGGGTCTCCTCTGAGATCGTTTTTTCCTCTAAGAAAAATGGCTCTTTCAGACTTATGACACCATCAGACATTAAAATCATCTAACAAACTCTCCTTTTTTTGGCTTCTAGATTCCCAAGCAACCATCTGATAAGCAAACATTTTAGGTTTATGTCCCTGAGAGAATCAATTACACTGGGTTCTAAGACCTTAACTAGTCCATTAGATTATGAGTTGCATTTCTCATTAACCACCAGCATTCTAGTTTTATCATTTGATGCCTTAGATTTGATAAGTAAGAAATATTAGAGGTCAGAGACAAGCTCTTGCCTTCTCTGAATCTCAAAGTTGAAAAGCAGAAGCAGAAAGTATTTAATCCAAGTTTCAACATGGAAAGATTCTATTTGGGCCATGAGGAGGGACTGCCCTTCACCGGGTGGTAACATCTTCAGCATTGAATCCAGCACATTTCTCTAGTTAATCTCTAATTTTCCAGTGAAACATTTCTATGTATATGTAAAGTAAATATGAAATAACAACCAGAACATAAGTTCCAAAAAGGAAGCCAAATAAAAGAAGATGTTGTTGGAAATTAGTACTAAATTTCATGCGCTTCAAAACAAAGTAAATACCTGTCTCCTTAGATCTCTTGTTTTCTTGGTCATCTTGTCAATTGCAATGTTTAGAGGATCTCCTTTTTCTTTCCTTCCAGTCTATTAAGAAAAGAAAAATAATTTCTGGTTTGTACAATTCAATATTAGAGACATTAAAGGTTAAAAACAATTCAGTGAATCACTTAGAGAGTCCAAACAATTAAAATATAGATTCATTTCAATATGTAGCTAACATAATAGGACCTCCAAAGTTGTTTATTTCTAACTAAAAATGAGCATTGATGAAAGTCAATATATTCTCAGTGTGGTTATAAGTATGTTCACATTTGACTCCATGCAAAACTGTTTTACTCCATTCTCCAGCCATTTACATATTCAATAAGCATAGAAGTGTTTTGCTTTTCTTTCCAAATAAATATGTTTTGTGCTTCTCTATTATGCAATCACATTTTGAGATAATTGAGATGACAAAAATAAATTCGAAAGAATTTTAGGTTAACATCAGAGTTTGGAATTTTATATCAATATTTCATAGGCTATGTTGCAACTGTACCAAAAATCAAAAGAGATGATTTACTGGAAAATACAATAATTTTAATGTCTGTTCTGCCTGCAGAACACAACAGTAACCAACCCACAATGTGAAGTGATAAAGAAAATGTCCTTTATAACTTTAACATGTAACTATAAAAACAAAGAATCCTTTTAAATAAACTAGTCACTGAAAATTTCATAACCTTCTATTTCATTTCTTTTCTATTTTTATAGATACAGAAAAATTAATTAAAACCAAGCAATAAAAATCTCTGTTGTCTTTTTCAAACAGTAACTAGATATGCTCGCTTCAATAGCACATATACTAAAACAGTAACTAGATACCCATGGGTAAAAGCTCTACAAAACATACATATGGCATTATTTTTATCTGTAATTTATTTATTTCTCCTTAACAGAAAGTTGTCTTCAAACAACTGCCAGATCTATTAAATTATCTAAACTTTAGTCAAACATCCTTTAGAATGATCTTAGAGGCAGGCCACCTCATGTAGCTACACAGAACCTCGATAAAATCGTACAAGTATCAGTTCAGTCCATGTTAAACACAAGATCAAATATGGATGCTTCATTTTAATTATCTAAAGTTATACACATTTTAGCCATCTTTTCCCACTCCCCAAATTCATACATTAACTCTAGCAGATATATCCTCTGAAGGTTTGTAAGTAGAAATAGCTTAAAACAAAGACAACATTTTACAACCTTGAAAGATTGGCCTATAAATAGTTGCAAGAAAGCAAAAGCATATGGAGAAGAATAACGTATTGGTTGATCTTTCAGAAAATTCTTAGGAAGTTGTATAGCCAGTGTACCTTGACTGCCCAGACTTTTCATATTCAAGTATGTCCCAAGCCTAGCACCCAGAGCCTACATCTTTCTTCTTTGGATTTCTCATAGCAAATGGAAGACCTGCCATCAAAATACAAGGTTCTCTTGTAGATGATTAGACTGTGATCTTTCTGACTTTTGAGATCCACAGATTTCTCATGCCTTCTCCATTTACTAAAGGAATCAAAACTTACTTTTATATTTTTAATAATTTTGAGTTTGGTTAAAGTGTAGCTATGACAAGAGAGTAGATTCCTATAAAAAGAAAAATAATCAAGACAGTTTGAATGCAAAAGATAATTACTGAGTGAACTCAAAGATCTCATTAATCAAGACAAATAATACTTAAATATAATATTCTAACTATCAAACTTAATGCCAATAGAATCCACGTTGAACAAGATATGAAAGTCTTAAATAAAAATAAGATCTTACAAGGCAGGAATTAGGGTAGGACAAGTGTGGAGAGCATGCAAGTTTGACTTCAGATAATATTTTTTAATTTTCAGCATTTAAAAATTATAGGCTATATTTATACTGAAAAAAATCATTAACTATAGAATTCTATATATTTATGTGCTAAATGTGGCACCCCTACTCCAGAAGTTGATGCTATGGACTGTGACTGGGATTGATAGAGACAGTCTATGAGCAAAAGGGTAACATGAGGATTTTACCCCTGTGAGGATAGAATTGCAATTGTCAAATACTCATTCTCTATATTTTAGGCAGGATCACCATGGGAAACACACAAAAAGACAGCACTATGGTTCTCACCCTAAGGAGCTCCTTATATAGATGATCATACTAGAAGGTGAGACTGGTATTGTGGACACTATGCAGAGTACTATCATTATAAAGGGCTAAGCCCCACAGAATAGGCAGAAGACATTGCATGGGCATATCCAGCATTCTCAGAGAAAAAAACAAAAGAATTTATTGAGACCTTAAACCCTGGGTTAGATTAACAGAGGAAGGAGATTGTACCTTTTGAATGTCAAAAAAAGCTGCTTATAATAAGAAATAATAAGTTGGGTTCTGGGAGGACAGGAGGTAGAATGGGCCAGCCTCTCCTGCATGCTAAGAAGGAATCTGTTTGACCTGCTAGAGATTGTTTTAAGAGTTTCCTCACTGTGTGAGTCCCACTGACTATATTTTGATCTCCAAAGCTAGAGACTATACTGACATCAATATCCCATGCCACAATTATCAAGATTTTGTGGGTGTAATGTTTGCAAAGCTGGGCTTCTCCAGCTTCCAAACCCTTGGCTGAAAGCAAAGCAGAAATGTGGTTGACTTGGACCAAATTTATCATCACTATTTGGGGAAGCTGGGGATTTTTAAAGCAAAGACTAAAGTTTAGGAGATTTGGACAGCTGACCAAAATTAACAAGTCACTGGCCCTTTGTTAGCTACAATTTCTTTAAATAAAGTATGTTTGTAGGAATAAAAGTGGCACATCCCCGAATGCTCAGATTTGCATAGTAAACAGGGACATGCAAGTCATCATGCCAGGCTTTTGTCTGCATGCGGAAATAATCTTAACTTGTTGATCTAAATGGTGCTGGTAGCCCATCACCCAGAGAGAGAGAGAGAGAGACAGAGACAGAGAGACAGAGAGACAGAGAGAGAGAGACACACACACACACACACAGACAGACATGCTTTCTAGTCTCTGTTATCTTGGGATAATGATTTATTCCACATTTTTTATATCTGATTTTCTCTTAAGTTCAATTGATGGCATGATATATGTTCTGTCTCCTTCCCAAGGTTAGCAAGATGATCAATCATGGTGTCAAGGTGCTGGAAACAAAGGCATTAATATTATTCAGGATGATTAAGAAAGAAGTTTTGCTGTGGAAAAAAAATGAAAGGCCTGATTTAGAAACTACATAGAAACTATTTATGGATCACCCGTACTTCTCACTTTTTTCAGTTAGGAAATAATGTAGGAAAATCTTGCAGAGACTAGAATCCCTAAAGGGCAGTTATTTCTCTTAAGAAATGAATATTTGGAGCAGTTCATCTTAGACAACATGTCTAGGATATTTTGAAAGCATTAAATTAGTGGAAGAAACATTGTCATTTACATACTTGTTTCTTGAATATGGTTGCTAAATAACAGGATTTGACCATCACTGTGGGAAAAAAAAAGAAAATACTAGTTCTCAGGGGATCAACTAGAATCAGTCTATTAATTAAAAGCAACTTAATAAACTGAAGTTTTTAACTAACTTTTCATTTTGAAATGACTACCTATTTATAGCTAAAACATGTGTGGTGTTGAAGTAGTATCTACTTACTCCCTGCCTTTGCTGAACAAGAACAAAAAAAAAAATTAAATCTGTTTGCTATCACCCTGCCAGTAACTGTCAGAGTGACACATCAACTTCCCTAGCTCTAGACTTAGCACCTGTAGGATGAAGAGGGTCAGAGATGACTTCTAGGCCATAGAATCAATGCCCAATTCCCTGTTGTGAGCTAGCAGTCTTGGCTCTATAGAAGAGGCTGTGACTTGACAGTGGCTTGGAGTTTTCTCTTGTCTAAATCATGAATAAACATTTGTGTTGTGAGTTCCTGGTGAATGGTGAGAAGATGGGATCTGTACCACAATTAGCACAGTACTTGAATGGCGATTAACTCAGTCAAGGTTGGCTATGTCTCCTTCTCTACTACCTCATTCACCAGAGATGAGGACAGCAAAGCTCAGAGATGAAGCTACTGACTCTGACTATTTATTTCATCAGACCAGCACCCACAGACTTCCATTTCGGGGCATTTTCTATTCCATACCTAAGCCATCTCCACTCTTAGAATTTCTGGACTCTGCAATTACATTGTTCTATATGTTCCAATTTACAGCCATCAACAAAATCTTAGTTGAAGGATTATGTCCTCTGTCACTTTTTGTCTACAGAACTTGTGTGGATTTCTTGGACCTGTTCCTCACTTGCCTTCTATACCTTTCCCTGCACATATTGAGTCTGTAATAGAATTAGCCATTTAATAAACACTGTTATTTAGAAAAAAAGAAGACAGGTGGAATACTCTCTCACACTGCTGTGGGCGCCTTTCCTAGTTACCATCTGTTGTGCTAGGGCAATGTATGTTTAGTAAACTTTTATTTGTTTTAGTTTTCTTATGCTATTTTACAAAACACATTCAGTGTAGACCATGGGTTGAATTGGTGACAGAGAAGAGAATGCATCTCTTGATTTCAATTTTGTGGAAGATAATTTATTCTCCCATACTCTAACTCTACATTAAAATAGAATTTGCCCAATTATGAGCTCTAAACAGAAAGACTGGGCCATTAACCGGAATTTTGTTTTTTCCACTTAGTCTTCAGGAATGCACAATATTTTATTTCAAAAATCTTTTATGATACTTCCTTTTGCTTCTGTAAAATATAGTCCCCACAACTTTGAATAAAGATCTTTCTTCTCTCCATATCATTATCCATTATGCTCTAAAATCCTGTGTATACAATATATTTGTGTTAACATATTGAGAAATATACAGCTGATAGTAACAGCCTCAGTTATAAAAAACAAAATAGTAAGCAACATTAGCTTTTAAATTTCTAAAAATAAGTTTCTTTATAACCTATTGCCATTCCAACCTATAATTCCACCCTAATACATTATATATGTATATATATATATATATATATATATATATATATATATGGTCAATTTTGGAGGTCCTGG